TCAGTGATCATCGCTATGAGCGAATCGCCTGTTCTCAACAAGAAATACTCCTCCCTCCGAAGAGCGATTTACTACCATCAAAGTACACCTCTCAACAAACCAATGAGAATTATCAATGGAATAAAAGAAAAGCAAACCTCTTCGAAGGGCATTCCAAAATTATGTGGCTTAATTCGAACCGTATCCTCCATTAATGCCAGAACAAACATCTCGCGCAAAACCTCTGAAATCTTTCAAATTTGACAAGAAATTATGTCAAAAATTCATTGCTCATTGTCGATTACTTACAATGTTTTCATGCAATCCGTATAAAATTAGTCACACAAAAACATTCCTAAATCAGTCTCCCCAATCCTCAAATGTCAATGTATCACCTCAGTGACTCATTTCAGCGAATAATTTTTGAATGTTAACATCGAGAAATTTTTAAATAAGCAACTGCTTGCTATAGACGACGATTCATCGTATGAAATTCATTCGATATCAAACAATTCAACTACTTTCACAATACAGTGCTGATATTCTGTAGAGGTATTTTCAACAACACAAACAGAACATATGATTTTGGAGTCGAATAAGTTTGTTGTAACAAAAAACGTGATGAGGTACAATCTCATTCAGCGAAAAATACTTTCACCTGTCGAGCAATAACAACACATTCATCCGAAAAACTTCAACAATAAAACGATAGAGCATATATTTATTGAATTATGATTATTATTACTCATAAAAATTACATACGAACACGGAATCTATTTGGATAAAAACACAATATAAGTATAAAATCAATTACTAAATATAAGTAAATATATAAGTAAAGAATATAAGTNTTGAGGCTGACAAAGAATGATAAGTGAAGGCAAGAAGATTGAAGGCATTCATTCTCTATCGAATAAACACCCAAAGAGACCACAAATTTAGAGAGAGAATTTGAACTCTGATTGCACAATTTCAAAAGAGATTACAAAAACAAGAATATTGTACAATACATACGAAATGCAAATATTACGTAAGAAAATTCAAAAAAAATTACTTGAAAAATTCAAATCAACGGCACAATGAGCAATACAATAAATGAATGAATAAAGCTTTGAAAGTGAACAAGACACAGCTTAACATAGCTGAAAGTGAAACTTGTGATAAAGTGAAATATTAAAACGACCAATCGAATTTTAAGAAAAATTCATCAGTTGAATATATTCATCTGTTAACAATAAGTGAATAAAACTAAAAACCATCGAAAAAACTCAGAAAGTAGACGTCAATGTGAACATTTCGGAATTTCGACAAAGAATTCGATTTGAAAAACAATCGTTAGAAACTGACAAAAAATGCACAAAAAACCTTCATGAGATTTACATCCATCAATCATTGTGATTTCAGTAGAACACTCAAATGAATGCCAAACAACACCGGGAGAAAAAGCCATAATAGTAGTTTAATGCGTTGAAGTAACAAGCTACCTTTCATCTCTCTTCAGTCATTTAATAAACTCATCACAACCTTAATACCCTTAATNAATGCGTTGAAGTAACAAGCTACCTTTCATCTCTCTTCAGTCATTTAATAAACTCATCACAACCTTAATACCCTTAATAAAACACCACTGAGAAATCAATCCTAAGCCGTAACTTCAACGTTATTTATAAAGACCTAACGAAGTACGGCCGGTTATGATTATCGCCCCATTTCTTCACACCCATGAATTCATTACTGCAATACCAATGAAAAAGAAAACTGTTATCAAATTCATAATGAGAAGTGACTTTCTGACGGAAACTTTCAACATTTAACTGATTGCTGCTGCAATCGTTCGTCTGAATCATTTTGAGGTGATTTCTGCTCAATATCCATAGCGAACAGTTCTTCTGCTGAGATCGTCTGCAATAACAAACACAAATTTATTCTCAAAGCAATTCAGATTCAGTATCAATCGTCAATCCGACATATACACCACTTTATCAGTGTCAAAAAAATCGCCCGTTCGAGGTAATATATGACCAAATCAGTAATCAAATCAGTACACTTTCTAAAGAAACGAGAGAAAGTTTTTAGCACATACCAAATCTCGAATCAACAATTTACTCATCGCTTTTTCACGTTCTTTTCTTTCTTTCTTTTGTTTTTTGTATTCAATCTCATCGAATATCTAAAATAAAAATTCACATTGTTTCAATCAGTGAATGTCCTGCGAGTGCTGGATGACAATCTGTCTGTCCGCTCAACAAGCGAACTTTCGAGTTAACAGAATTCCTACGACTATGATAAAATTTAACTGTTTGATGGTCGGCTCTGCGCAAACACATCATATTCTCAATCACATTAAATATGACTCATAACTGTTTTAAAGCCGTCAAGTGAAATTCGAGTGAAAATCGGTTATAAAGACAAGTTTTGATGCCAACAGTATCAATGTTGTGAATACAGTTTACACACCTCGAAATGTGCTGATGACGATTGCGTTGCCTTTTTGGTGCCTTTGATGCGAGCCTCGTTCCACTTCGATGGTTCTTTACTGTTCTCTGCAAATTCCACCCTACCCAAATCATCACCAAAATCCTGAGGCACCAATACATTCTGCTCATCGAACACTTCGTTTCCCTAAAAATACAAAGATTTAGAGATCTGAAAACGAAAATTCACTTAGCGAATCAACGAATTAATAATCATTCATGCTCTACCAGGTTGGGAAATTTAAATCACTAAAATTGATCGACAAAATATTTCCAAATTCAAACAGCGACGTGAGTAAAGGAATTGAACCAAAACAATTGCAAACCTCATAAATCAAAAACGCATTTCCAGATTCTCGAGACGTTGACGTTGCTTCATCACTGTGAATGGCGAATGAAGGCTGCTGCTGACCACCGGATCGAAGACCGCTAGCCACCTCGGACGTTTCCCGGATGGCTGGAGTTCTCTGATTGCGTCCCAAACCTAAATTTCTAACACTGATTTGAAGGAAACTTCTTAAGCTAAACCAAACTTAAATATTTGAATCAAATGCTATCATTTTTCTTCGTTAGGATATTCCAAGCAGTCCAAGCCAATATCGAACCTCTAAGACCGCCTAAAGCAATTCGCATCGGTTCAGGATTCTCGAACGGCAACGTATCGGTATCGCTGTCGATATCCATTTGGGTGAATAAACGTAGTTGACGCATTTCGAATTCGTCGCTCGCCTCGTTCAACAACGACAACGGTAACGCTCCGTTTTCACGTGCCCGATTCAGAACCGAACGTGCACCGTCAACATCATGCATATCCTCACGTAACTGCAACAAACACTATCAATTTCCCTCACGAAGCAACC